TTTTACAGGTGGGAAAATAAGGCCCAGAGAGGATTAGAGTAGGGAGGCTGCACAGCATAGTGGTTAAGGACTGGGTTTTGGAGATAGATGAGACCTGGGTTTGAATCCTGCCCCTGCATTAACCTATTTATTTCTCATTTGTAAAATTGAGTTGATACCTACTTCATGGAGTTAAGAAAATTAAAGTAATGGGTAGGAGAAAACACTTAACACAGTTTGAGACACTGTTACTATTCATTGTCTTAGTTTGGGTTCCCCCCAAAGCAGACCTAGGAGGTGATCCCAAGAAGCAGGTGAGGGAGTGGGCGAGGGGGGCAGGGAAGGCAGGACAGAGCTGGCGGACATGAGTAGGCTCCCCCGTGGATGACGGAGGTTTCACCGGCTGGAGTCCTGAGCTGGGACGTGGCTGGGACTTGGGAGTTGTCTCACTGAGGGGCCCAAGCCTCAATGCCACTAACACTGGAGCCTCCTTGGTCGTGGAGCTGTTGGCCGTCCACCTCCAGCCCGCCCCACACTCACTTCCGCAGCTGAGGGCGCCTCGGGAGAGGCCGGCAGGTTCTCTGCACGGCGGCGCTGGAACCGTGCAGGGGAGCTTTCCCGAGGCCTGGGGGAGCGGGTCGGCCCTGACGGCACCCGCTGCTCGCAGTAAAAGGACCTGCTGTTAAAATTCTATTGGGTGGCGGTAGCTGCACAGCTAAGCAGGAGCAGCGGGGACGCCGGCCGAGTCCCATGGCACACCCCGCACCCCTGCGGGCCTAGACACCCGCCAGCTCCTGGCACCGCCTCCCCCATATCCCTTTCCCAGCGGCCCACCCGGCCCCAGTCCCTGAAGCAAACCCTGCTGTCCCCTGCCTCAGCCACCTGCCTCCACCCCCACCCTGACCTCTCCGGAGAAACTTCTGGTGACCCAGGGAAAGTGTCACATGGCTTTCGGCGGGAGCCAGGCCCCGTGATGGGCTGTACGGTCCTGCCCGGGGAGTCCTGCCTCCCCCCACCCCTCTCAAGGCACCTTGAAGACGCCCCAGGAAGGGGGAGCTGCCCGAGGTCGGCCTCCTGAGGTCACCGCCTTTCAGGCTGGCAGAGGGCACAGCCGGGACCTGACGGGGCTGCCCCAGGGCCCCGCCTCAAGCCCTGCCTTTGGCCCAGGTTCATCACCAGGCGCCTGGCACGCTGACGAAAGGAGCCGAGCCAGCCCTCACTGTCCCCACCTTCGTGAGGCTGACCTGTAGTAAATAGCTGGGCGTCACAGGAAAGCTCCCGAGCGCCTCGAGGGGCACCAGGCTTCTCAGGGACCACGGAGGGCCTGTGACAGAGCAGGGCGGAGCCCAGGCCGGCCCGAGGGCTCCCCAGAAGCCTCAGGCGCGGGCCCAGCGCCGGCGGCCCGAAGGAACAGCCCTCTGCCC